AATATACTTACTACAGTTGAAAATCTTTATTTATACGTATAATATAAGTAATTGTAATTCATTACAAAGTACAAACATTATGTACCACATTATACCCATACAATAATAAAAAGGTGATCTGCTGTACAGTAGGTTACAAGTGGGTCACTGTATAATGGAAGATATTAAATTTGAATTCAGTGATATAATATCATTGTATAAGAAAAACGATTTCTGAGCGGAGACTGTATGTCAGTCTAGATATAGGTAAGACATATTATATACTTATCTATGGTATTAAAAAAATTTGACCTATAATAAATTACAAATTAATCATATCACAATATTCATTAGGTACTTATAACGAATTATACATCAACAACAAACCCTGATACTATCATAGATGTATAATAGCGTACTTTAGAAGTTTCAAGTACCCACGAATAATATTATACAATATCACAACAAAATAACTAAAATAGTTATTCTAGTTTTTTTTTATGTAATTTCATCCAAATTTGAACTTAAAATTACTATAAAAATAAACTGTGCTAATGTAGTTTTTAGATTTTTTGGTAACAGAATAAACTAATTACGTGGAATCTTGTTTTAAATTTTCAATCCTTAGATATAAAAGTTAAACATTTTATATATTTTTCACTACAAAATAATTATTCAATTTTAAATTTGATAAATTTTGTCAAAATACGATCTTTAAATGCTTATAAAAAAAAAATTGTTCCTATGTATTCTTAATATTTTTCAACTGCTATTGTAAAAATATATCAGGAGACTTGTATTAAATGCTCACACTTTTTGGCAAAACAGATAAAACTTTAATGATATTCGTAGAAAAAAATTTAAAAAAATTTAAATATTAAATTGTCCGTAAACAGCTCAAAACAAGTCAAAATATTTTGAAAATTTTATCAAGTATAAGAATTGATAAAATAAACATTCAGTGAAATTTCATGTATCTACAGTTTTTCGTTTTTGAATCACAACAAAATAAGAAAATCGCTACATGAGAAATTGAGTGAATATCCAATGTTGTAAAAATTTGAATTTCAAACGCTCATAAAAATTTAATTTGACTTTCTTATAGACATTTTTTTTTTTTATAAAGGTAGATAATCTTATAAGGAATCTTGTATTACATTTTAAAACCTTAGATTTTAAAAGCAAAATTTTTACGACTTCTTAATCAAAATAATTTGCTAATTTTCGTTATTTTACCATATTTTGTCAATTTTTGAACTTTAAATGCTTATAAAAAAAACTGTGACTAAGGATTTTTAATATTTCCCATGTGCCTTTGAAACAATATACTAGGAGCCTTCTATAAAATTTTCAAGTTTTTTGAACCAACAAATTAAATTTTATTGATATTTTAAAAAAAAAAAATCTAAAAAAAAAATGAAAATGTCCCTAAACAGTTCAAAATAAATCAAAATATTTTGTAAATGTTATCGTGTATAGAAAATGCATATATAAACAACCAGTGAAAATTTCATGTATATACGTTCATTTTTTTTAGAGTTACACCAAAAACCAAATTCGATTTTGTTAAAAATCGATTTCGCGTAAAAATTCCCGTTTTTCCTTAAATTTTCTTTTTTTCTTTTCGCTTTTTCCAATCGAACAAGATACTGAAGTTGAAAATCGAAGCATTATTTTGACTACTTATCGTGTACACAGACACAAATAAAATAAAAAAAGGTGGGTAAGTGGATGTCGCTCTGCTGTACAGTAGGTTACAAGTGGCCAGTGGGTCACTGTATAATGGATGCTATTAAATTTGAATTCAATGATATAATATCATTGTATAAGAAAAACGATTCTGAGTGAAGATAGTATGTCTGCAGTCTAGGTTTAAGACAAATTATATACATATGTATGGTATTAAAAAAAATATTGAGCTATAATAAATTCCAAATTAATCATATATTCATATCACATTATCACAATATCCATTAGGTACTTATAACACGTTATACATCAACATCAATAACAAACCCTGATACTATCATAGATAATACATAATAGGACACTTTAGAAGTTTCAAGTAGGTACCCACGAATAATATTATATAATCACAACAAAATAACTAAGTTTTTTAATAGGTATGTAATTTCGTCCAAATTTGAACATAAAATGACTATAAAAATAAACTGTGATTGTATATTTTTTAGATTTTTCGGTAAGAGAATTAACTACTTATGAGTAATCTTGTATTACATTTTCAAATCTTAGATTTTAAAAGAAAAATTTTTACGAATTCTTAACTCAAAATAATTTGCTAATTTTCGTGATTTTTCCATATTTTGTCAATTTTTGAACTTTAAATGCTTATAAAAAAAAACTGTGACTAACGATTTTTAAAATTTTTCATCTGCCTTTGAAACAATATACTAGGAGCCTTCTATTAAATTTTCAAGTTTTTTTAACCAACAAATAAAATTTTATTGATATTTCTAGAAAAAAAACTAAAAAAAAATGAAAAATGAAAATGGCCCTAAACAGTTCAAAATAAATCAAAATATTTTGAAAATGTTATCGTGTATAGGAAATGCAAATATAAACAACTAGTGAAAATTTCATGTATCTACGGTCATTTGTTTTAAAGTTACACCAAAAACTAAATTCAATTTTCTGAAAAATCGATTTTGCGTAAAAATTCCCTTTTTTCCTTAATTTTTCTTTTGTTTTTCTTGGCGCTTTTGAAGAGTACTGGGAATTTTAAATTTTGACCTCCTCAATGCACCAACGATATTCACTTTCCAATCGAACAAGATACTGAAGTCGAAAATCGAAGCATTATTTCGACTACTTATCGTGTACACAGACACAAAAAAAAATAAAAAAAAGGTGGGTAAGTGGATGTCGCTCTGCTGTACAGTAGGTTACAAGTGGGTCACTGTATAATGGATGGTATTAAATTTGAATCCAATGATAGAATATCATTGTATAAGAAAAACGATTCTGAGCGAAGACGGTATGTCAGTCTAGGTTTAAGACATATTATATACATACCTATGGTATTAAAAAAAAATTGACCTATAATAAATTCCAAATTAATCATATCACAATATCCATTAGGTACTTATAACACGTTATACATCAATAACAAACCCTGATACTATCATAGATATATAATATAGTGTACTTTAGAAGTTTCAAGTACCCACGAATAGTATTATACACTCACAACAAAATAACTAAAATAGGTATGCTAGGTTTTTGATTATGTAATTTCGTCCCAAATTTGAACTTAAAATGTCTGTAAAAAATAACTGTGCTCATATATTTTTTAGATTTTTTGTCTACAGTATGAACTATTTATGAGAATCTTTTTTTTAAATTTTCAATCCTTAGCTATAAAAACTGAACATTTTATAATTTATTAATTACGATGATTGATAATTTTCGAGATTTTGATAAATTTTGTTAAAATGCGATCTTTAAATGCTTATAAAAAAAAATTGTGCCTATGTATTTTTAATATTTTTCAATTAATATTGTAACAATATATCAGGAGCATTGTATTAATTTTTCACACTTTTTGGCCAAACAGATAAAACTTTATTAATATTTATAGAAAAAAAAAACTAAAAAATTGAAAACTGAAAATGTCCGTAAACGGCTCAAAAAGAGTCAAAATATTTTCAAAATTGTATGGTGTATAGGAAATGCTAATATAAACATTCAGTGAAATTTTCATGTATCTACGGTAATTCGTTTTTGAATTACAACAAAATAAGGAAATCGCCACATGAGAAATCGAGTGAATATCCAATGTTGTAAAAATTTGAATTTCAAACGCTCATAAAAATTTAATTTGACTTTCTTATAGAATTTTTTTTTTGATAAAGGTAGATAATCTTATAAGGAATCTTGTGTTTCATTTTCAAATCTTAGATTTAAAAAGAAAAATTTTTACGAATTCTTAACTCAAAATAATTTTCTAATTTTCGTGATTTTTCCATATTTTGTCCATATTTTTGAACTTTAAATGCTTATAAAAAAAAACTGTGACTAAGGATTTTTAATATTTTTCATCTGCTTTTGAAACATATACTAGGAGCCTTCTATTAAATTTTCAAGCTTTTTTAACCAACAAATAAAATTTTATTGATACTAAAAAAAATGGAAAATGAAAATGTTCCTAAACAGTTCAAAACAATTCATAACATTTTGAAAATGTTATCGTGTATAGAAAATGCAAATATAAACAACCAGTGAAAATTTCATGTATATACGTTCATTTCTTTTAGAGTTACACCAAAAACCAAAATCGTTTTTTTGGAAAACCGATTTTGCGTAAAAATTCTCGTTTTTCCGTAAATTTTCTTTTGTTTTTCCCGGCGCTTTTGAAAACTACTGTGAAATTTAAATTTTGACCTCCCCAATGCACCAACGATATTCACTTTCCAATCGAACAAGATACTGAAGTCGAAAATCGAAGCATTATTTCGACTACTTATCGTGTACACAGACACAAAAAAAAAAAATAAAAAATAAAAAAAAAACACACATCATTGTAAAATCAATACATTCATCGTTTCACTCAGAATCTAAAATAAATAAATAAACACACATCATTGTAAAATCAATACATTCATCGTTCCACTCAGAATCTAAAATCATTTTTTTTACATCAGATGTATTGTTGTAAGTTATTTTTAATTTGTATACCTACAAAATCTAAACTTTATCATATAGTGCTGAAATTAAATTTAAACATTGAACCAAAAAATGTGATAAAAATCGTATTGGAGGAGACCTCCACACCGAAAGTAATGTACAGTAGAAATCGGTTATAACGAGTTTCAAGGGCCAACTAGTTTTTCTCGTTATAACCGGTAACTCGTTATATGCGGTTAGAACGAACATTCGTTGAAACCGATTAAAAGCGGAAATACAAAAATAAAACCGACTTTTTTTATTTTAGACAAAAAATTTTTATTTACATACATTATTTATACATTTATTATTGAATTTATTATTTAACTTGAATTGATTTAATTTTTATTTAATTTCTTAAAATAATCTTTGATCGAACTTTGCTTCGTGTTAGAGTTGATCGATGTTTCTAAAAAAGACAACGCTTTTCTTTCAGCATCTGTACCTTCATATTTTGTGTAATAAAATCTTTCTAGTGTCCTCAATGCAGCACGAGCTTCGGATATTGACGGCACAGTTTCAAACTCATCATCAAGCTCTTCAATATCAGTATCATTATCTAGCTCAACTTGTTGGTTGGCTATGACATTGTCGACTATATCTTCATCTGTTTGAATTCCTTGTTCTTCCATATGGTCGAAATTGTCGACGAACAGGTGCCGAATTCTTTTGAAATTACGCTGTTTTTCTCACCATTTTCTAAACGCCCGATTATACCGATTTTTTCGTCCAACGTAAACTGACGACGCGACATGGTGGAACGTCTACACACAACTGACGCTATTTGTAATTTTATTAACTTTAAAACACCAGAATTTGTAAGAATAATGTTTATTATTAATAAGTAATCCATATCTACACAACTAAAGATAATATGTCAATGATTAATCGACCTAAATACGAAAATAGTTCGTATCTTGCAGGTACTTGTTCGTAGTAACCGGAAGGTCGTTAGTCAAGTTAGCTTTATTTTACTCGTTATAGCCGATAACTCGTAATAACCATACTCGTTGTAAACGTATATTTTAACATACAATCATATGCGCTCGTGCCGGGACCTAACGTTTTGCTTGTTGTAAGCAGTATCTCGTTCTAAGCGATGCTCGTTATAGTGATTTCTACTGTACTTTGAAAATATATCTCCTGAGTCCTGAATCCTGAGGATAAGTTTAAACAAAACTGTCAACGAACTTTATAAAATTGAATATTGGGTACCACCTTAAAATAAGTTAATCGGTTTACATAAATGGTTGTCTGAAGTTCAACAACTTAAATACAAAATCAATAACTCGTTCTCTTTGCTAGAAAAATCTTCGACTAAATAGTACATTATATAGTACCTATAAACCTGCCGGTATTTCGGGCTTGTGACGAAGACAAAATTGAGAGTCACGATATTAATGACGTATAGCCATAAATGTCCAACAATGTACCAAGAGACACTGCAGCAAATTCTGTGGACATCAATAAAATTGCCAAAGTGGACTATGAAACCAACATGAGTGATAAAGACAATATTATACATCCTAAATCTCGATGGCAATTGAAACGGAAATAATCGAAATTCCGGGGTTAAATTAAAAAAAAAAAACCTATTAGAGGGGTACGTTTAATTGATTTTTGCCTGTTGTGAAAATTTGGTCCCTAAAACTCTTTAATGATACAATGTTGGAAACGGTTAAAATTATATTTATGGTTATTCTTTGTTCGATATTCCACCAGGACATTCGGGAAATACAATAAACCCATACCCAGCAGTATCCAAATAGTCGAAGAAATTGATTTTCGTCCAAACAACAAAGACGGCTTAACGTCTACAGATTTATTATTATTTTGTCGTTCTAGTTATACCGCGGTCACCGTTCACGTTTGTTTCTTCAAGACGCTCTTGTGCAAGTGCTGCTTGACATCACCATGGTGGCCGTGTGCAGCAACCTCGTCAGACCACTGTGAATTTAAAAAACTTAAAATAATCAAGATAAAAATGCACACATAATTTACATTGCAAAAGTAAAATTGTCAGCCATATCACATCTTGTGCCGTTTGTATGTGACTGACGAAAAACCTCAATTGCGTCATCGTCCATGGACCGATTTCAAACAGCAATTTATTCTGGGTCTATGCAGGTGCACATATGTAAAGGGTGTAATAGACATAAAGGATGTGCACGCCAAAACCACTCCTACATTGACGATGTCAAAGAACACAAGCATGTCTTGTAGTTCACCGTACAGGGGTTCAAAAAATTGCTGGAGTTCAGACCATGGCCACCAGGATCAAGTGCATATCGAAGAAACACAATGTGAATTGCATCCACAGCCAGAACGACGAAATAATAATAAATCTATAGACGTTTCGCTGTCTTCATTGTTGACTTTAATCTGGACGAAAATCGATTTCTTCAACAGTTTGGATACTGTTAGTTTTATTGTATTTTTCCAATTGTCCTGGAACAACGAATAACCATAAATATCACGTAAGTATACCATTTTAATCGTCTCCAACATAATATCACCAAACAGTTTTAGGGGCCACATTTTCACAACTGGCAAAAATCGATTAAACGTATGCCTATTATGCTTAATACTTAATAGTTAATCGCCTCTAATATATTTTCTTACGTCTAGAATTTTGATTATTTCCGTTTTGATAATTGCTTTTGGGATTTGGGATGTACCCTATGTTTCATTATCAACTTTTGCCATGTTATTGATGCTCATAGAATTGTCTGCAGTGTCTCTTGATTTTTGGATGGTTTATTTCTAATTAATCGTTGAATAACTTCCTTTACGTAATTAATATCGTGACTCTCAATTTTGTTTTCGTCAAGAGACACCGGTCTATACTTATCACGAGTAGTTGTAGATTTTTCTAGCAATGAGCTAGGTCACGTTATTGAGTTCGATTTGTTCAATCTGATACGTTTTATTGAGTTAATGTCTTATAGTTGTTGAATTTTTGTCAAACATTTTTGTGAACCGTTAAATATTTTTTGTAGTCTGACATAATATTACGTACGATTTTCATAATAGTATTATTTTTTTTTTTCGTATTATCGAGGACCGGGGGGAGAACAGCGATTTGCATTACAGCTCTCCGGAAACCATAATTGTTTTTTGAATCGTATAAAATACTATGTATTTGTGTATAATATACCATTTATAGAAATTAGAAATAACAATATTTAACAATTTAACAATAATAATTTTACTATGGTTTATATCAACCTCCTGTAAAAAATCAGGCTTGTGTCAGAAGTTGAGAGTTATAGTAGTGCATATGGGGATAAACTTAGACTGTATAATTTAATTTATGAAACAGCAATTTTACTTAACATTTATTATAAATAAAAAACATATAAATACATGAAACATTATTGGTTATAGATACAAACATAAAAAAGATGTCTAGATCTCATGAAAAACAAAAGGGATAGGAGCTATAATATAACGTAAACATAAATACAAAAATACATATATAAATACAATATAAATATAAATATAAATAGCTCATAGCTCACATATTAGTATTTTATTAAGATAATATTTATATTTCTTATAGAATTAGTTCTTAGATATTTTTTTTACATTAAGATTTAAAGTAAGTAAACCCTTACGGGAATTGAACGCTTTAGGTCCTAGATAATCCATACATTTCTGGCCTATACTTTTTTTTGCGTAATTTATTTTAATATAATAGGCTATAGTTTTTCGTTTATATAATATATTATTATTATACACCATAATATAAATTAAATAACTTTGAATTTTGTAATGACAACTATAGCAATAAATCATTGTTATTAATTCCTAGCTGAGTAGCTGACTAAATAAGATTGTACTCTATTTCTGACTCAATAAAATTCATTATCGCCGCCAATCTATACTCAAAAATATATAACTTTAACCCAACGTGTCATCTAGTTTTTAAGTATTTTTTTATTATGTAATTTAATATTGCGAATATCACCCAATAGCCTCTGTTGTAGAGGATTTATTTAAATAAAACAATACTATTATACAATATTAAATATAGAGTTATTGAGAAATAATTACCAATTATACCCATATAATCATAGGTTACAAAAAAAATATCAAATATTTATTATTGAAAACCACTTATTAGTTAACGATAGCCGGTGGGTATAATAAATGCCTATCATCACTAATATAACCTAATAATATGGAAACAAAAAAAAAAAAAAAAAAAATTTGAAGAATACGTAAAGCCACGAATATATTACATTAACGCAGGTACTCAATAACAACGTACCTATTCCGTGTGTTTTAATGTTTAAAAGTGTTTTTAATAGAAATGTGAAGAATAAATCGGTCACACTCTCCTTGAAATGATTTTAAGCTGGCGTGGAACAAGAGTGCCACTACTATTATACAACATAGTGGCATATAAAACGACGAGGGCGGGTTTTTTTACATCCACAAAAACGTATAAATATTTTATGAAGTCACAGTAACAGTAGGTCGGAAGAGCAGGCTCGTAATAAGCGCGTATTCCTTTTAAAAAGTCTGTGAGAGTGATAGTGGTCGCGTCGGCGGTCGGCGGTCGCAGTGGCGTCGACTGTGGCGGCACGGCGGCGCTTAGACCTTCTTACCCCGACGGATTTGCGCCCTCGACATAATATATAATATAATATTAACATTGAAACTCCGCATGCTCCACACTATAATGGAAATACTATCATTTATCTACTATAGAGAATCAACATTAGCATTTTTTTTTAACATTATATTATAATGTGAATATAAACATTTTATGTCTTAATAAAATCAATACTTTCAATACGGTCATAAACTATATAGGTACAATTATTATTATTAGTATGATTAATTAGGTAATTATAAATTAATAATTATATTATAACACAATACCTACTTCATGGTTATTTAAATAAGTTTTGTCGGAAACTTAGAAAAAAAATTGAAAATTAAAAATATGTATCAATAATTTGATTTCAAAGATATAATATTTACATATAGCTACTGTCACCTACAACTGTAGATAAATATTATTATAAATTCAAAATATGACTAATAATAATTTAGCGCTATAAGGAAGTAAAATAATACGAGTTATTATTTAAGATGATAATAATATAATATAGGTATTATCTCGGCTCACGATTATAAATCATTCTTTATAATAGTGTCTCGGCTAATCTTATGTACATAATAGGGGTAATATGGCGTAAACCTGCAGTCATACTTAATTCACTACATAATATTGTCGTTTGTCACTGCGCCCTACGTGATTAAAATTAAGGTAAGTAAATACCTACAATATATTTGTTTCTTAATAAAAAATAATTCTTGATCAATTGCTATTTTTCGTTATTTGTATAATATCACCTAACAACTTACTCTATATTCAAATTCGAATTACCTACTAAAAAAGAGTTACTGTCAAAACAAGGATAATTGTATTCTCAATAGACAATATTATTATATGTTATAAAATATCCAATAGAGTCATCGATGATCGATTAAAATGATAGGTATAAGTGTATAACAGCCTTGTGATTTCAACTATACGTTAGAAATGTACAATGAGTGAAGTATGTCGTCACTACATCAGTTTTACTTAGACATAAATTATCTACCTGTACGTAAGTGTGTAAGACAACGGATTTTTATTATTCGTCCTCCAAACTATACAATACAAACGTTTGATGGTTATATTATGATTATTTTAAAATACATATCATCATAACGTAATTTATGAGTTATAACTTATGAGTCTTACTTAACTTATAATTGATCTAGATAGTACTAAAAATGATTAAATATTTATATCTATATGATAAAGTCTCGTCACCATAAATTCCATAATATACATTATATTAGTCACCGTTATCTCCACGTGACGTCATCGCGTCGAACGCTGAGCACCGTTGTCGTTACGATGATGAGTACCATTTCGTTCCATATGTACATGCAACAACAACTTACTGTCGACAGTATAAAATATATTATAATGTCGAGTAATGGAGTTGTAGCGCCGTATAGTGGAGGAGATGACACGTCACTCGCCGCAATCGTATAGCTGAAAATAATTATGTCGTAGTCCGATTTATCGGCCGGAACGACCCCGCCTGATCAGGTTATTTATCGTCATTATCATATAATAATATTAATATTATCACGCAGTTTTGGCAACAAATAATTGCTGGCCGTCGAAAATACATGAAATTATAATAATATATGTACCAATAAATAATTATCGTATTTGGTAGCTTACGAGAGAAGCAAAACACACGACGGCGACGCTGGCAATGGCACGGCGCACATAAGTTATACAAGTACACAACAACACATATAGGAGGTATACAGGCTAAACTTTGAAAATCCTGCTTTAATGGCACTCGAAGAAAAGAAACTAATAATTATACTCGAACCGTATTATATTGTATAATGAGTCGAAAAAATAATTAATAATAACAATCTCAGACTTTTGATCAGCCGATACATTATCTCGTGCACGTACTTTTTTTTTGTACAACACAACGGCGCATGTACGACGCACACTACTCGAAGTCTGAAACTTTTACTACCCAAGTTGCGTACACCGGAACGATCGACGAGCTTTTGTCACAATATTCAAGTTTCAAAAAGTTGGATGCTCACTTTTTCCTTTCCTTAACTTTATATCATTAGGTCTTTCTCTAAATATAAATATTATATTATATAGGTACAGCTGGCTATATAGTTAATGTGAACACTGAACTTGATGGAATACAATTACTGAATTACCTGTTAAACTCGTTGTTTAATTCTTTGGATATAATTATGAAACCATAAAGTAAACATTTTATAACTAACTAACTTTACGGATGAAAATTAATATTTTATTAAAGGAACTTCACTTCTCAGTTCTCAGACAATATAATATTATGCACTCATATATTATAATAATATGCTGTAAATTATAACTTCCAGCCAAATTATTAAAATTAAAAATTATATTGTTCACTTAAAAAGTATTTTTTATTAAACTAAAATTGTTACAATAATTATTTTGAGAGTATTAAATATATAAAGTGTTTATCATATCATCATTTTAACTACTAAATAACTATATAGTCAAATAAGAAATATTATTAATTATTAAGAGGCCGTACACCTGCATGTGTTCTCTCTGTCTCTATAAACCCATAACGGCCATAACATAACAAATTGTACGCTCATCAGATCACGCTTTGCTCTGTTAAAAATAAGTAAAAAATAATTTAAATAATTTAAAATACTCAAAAATTGTTTTAAAACTAAAATATAAAAAAAACCTTTGAGGTTCACTATATGTATAATAATCTTACCTTTAAATTTTATAAGAGGTCAATTCACTCTAATTTTGAAGTTAACAGAGCTAAGCTTACAATTTGCAATGTTATGGGCTTGTAAGATAATCGACTATATATATTATCTACAATCCGGAATCCCTATCATGCA